AACCTACTTGATCATTTACTGACAAAGAAAAGAACTGAAGCAGAACCTGGAATATGTGAACATTACAGAAATTTGCTGAGGTCTTAAGAATGATGGAGGAGACAGGGAAAAATATGATACTTGGAAGGAACCCAGCATTAAAGAAACTCACACGAAAACCAAAGCATTAGAACCTTTACATAAACACCGAGGAGTTAAAAAGAAGAAGAAAAAAAAACTTTCAATAACAAGATTGGGTAAAGGGACTTCAATTACCGAGGTTCCCCTACCCATTCACATTTTTTAGTTTTAATTAATGGTCATCAAATATGGATTAGTGCTGATTAAAGTAAACTTTGACTATAACAGTTCAATTTTTTTAAAGGCAAACTTTTCTTTTGAGAGCATACAAAATGTTTTTGTTTTTAAAACTGGATATTTTGGTGAATTCCCTTGGACATACGTCAATGGTTTATCATTATTCATAGATTTTACCATCTGATCAAACTTAAAAAAAAAAAAAAAACAAACTTTAATCCATGTAAATAAAAAACAAACATTAGATGGTTTCTTTTAAAAATAGTAAGTTTAACAAACCCAGTTTTATTTCAATAAAATTTACACTGCATTAAAAAAAAAAAAAAAAAAAAAAAATTAAAAAAAAATTAAAAAAATTAAATTCCATAATCAGATTTTCACTCAACTGTGGAAAAAAAAAGTACCAACAAGTTAGCTACAAAATATTCCACTTCATTTTTGACCCCATGTGAATGAAAATAAAGTTTCAAGGTGTATGTGTGTGAGATTATATATATATATATATATAGATAATATTAGTGGAAAATATATCTAAAAAATTCCCATACATGTATATTTTCAGAAAAAAATTTTCCAAGAGGAAGGATCCAGGTAGATAGTGGAAAATATATATATATATATATATATATATATATATAGCAACACACAGAGGACCAATCAAAATTGTACAGTCAAACTAAAGGAATTAATTTCTACAAGTTTCTTGAAAGCTTGAAAATTTAAAAATGAAATACAAAAATATTACCAACCTATTTGTAGGCAAAGAAAAATATAAAAATTTTCAAAAATGGAAAATTACTTGCAGAATAACAATGTTAACTAAGCAATCACATGACCAAGTACATCCACCCTATAAAGAATTAGGATCTAATAAAATAATTATATCTTTTTTTTTTTTTTCCAAATCAGTTGTGAGGAAAAGCCACCATTATGATTTTTTTTATATAGATTCAAGATTCTATATGTATATTAAGACACACAAAAAAAAAAAAAAAAAAAAAATTACAATTTTTTTCTTTGAATAACCAAATTTGAGAAAATACTAAAGTAGAGACGTCCAGAATGTGGACATGAACTAACCCACAGTCCACCAGCAGACGGACAATATTTTTTAGCCAATTTCTCTGGTATTAATTGACTAAATTGTCTTGCAAAATAGCAATAGTATACTGTTTGGTGCATGTAAATAAAAAAAAAATTACTTATAAGGAAAAAAATGTCTTGTAACATGGCATTTTAATGAAATCATTTGCACTGAAGCCTAAATATCTGACTTAAAAGAAAATGTGCCACAAAAGTCAAAAAAAAAAAAAAAAAAAAAAAAAAAGCAGTCACTTAAAGGCTACAAATGTGTAAAAGATCATGAAATTTTAACTTTTTAAAATTATTTTCATTTAAATTTAAATTTCATAAAGCACAAGAAGAGTGCAAGAAAAATGTTTTTAAAATTTATTTGAAATTTAAGTGAAGTAGCCTTATTTTAGACAAGATTTGAATTTAAAGAAAATTAATTGGGAAAAGTGGAGGGAATTAAAATGTTTAATTTTATTTTAGCAATTAACTAATGAGTAATCTAATATCCAATGAATCCCATTTTTGTTCTTTCTTTAAAAATGGTTTGAAAGAAGTTTAAAAAAAAAAAAAAAAGAAAAAAATGATTAACTAAAATCTTGAGAAAATTGGTAGGATAGAATCAGTGAGCTTCACTAATTGTTTTGATATATAAAACATTGTTCTTTATAAGCTTTATTGATATGCATTATTGAATCAAGTTCAGAATTAAAATAACAATTACAGATCTTCAAGCTGACATGGCAAATTGACTGAAAGTTTTAATCTTTCTTGGCAGCATTTAGAAATATTTTTTTAAAAAAGTATTATGAAAATACTTTGAATATTTGATAACTCAAACAAGGTTTACAGCATATTGCCTGGCAGACTGGGTAGGACTGGAGTGTTAAGAGTTCAGTTTTCAAATTTATAAAAAAAAAAATAAATTATACTGTTAGCAATGAGAAAATATCACTTTATAAAACTTGTCAATGTCTACTTCTCAAAAACTTGGTGACTGACTTGGACAATCAAAAAACTTTTGCTCTATTTTTTATCACTTTTTTTCTCTCCTCCTCCAGATCTATTTACAAAGATATGTAAGGATATAATCTATCTTATATTTGGGAGGAGAGGGGGATATTTTTCTTACAGAGTAATCATCTCATTTTATAAGAATGAGAAAAAAAAAAATTAAAAGAAGAGCATATTTATAATTTTCTATGCTCCCTACCAGTTAAGAGAATAATAACAGAAAAGTATCACAAAGAATTTTTCACACTAGTTGGTAAAATAGTCAATTTGAATGTACACTCATCTAAATACAAAGATGATCTTAAAACATTTCTTTTTCAAACAAAAGTGACAAGAAAAAAAAAGTTTAGAATTAAAAAAAAAAAAAAGAAATTGCTCAAATTGTTTTATTCCTTGAAGTTTCCACTTGAAATCATGTGATTCAAGTGTAGATGAGAATACTGACTGATACACATTAAGTCTAATGATGAAAAATGCATTTTACATAACATTTAGCAATCTCCTTAGCAATGCATTTAATTCAGTGGTTAATAATAATCACAGATTAAAGATTATACAATGAAAATTTCAGATCAAAATTCAGGCCATGAACTTACTGATGCACCATGGTACAAATTTAACAAAAAAAATAACTTAAAAAACGTCTGACATTTCTTCTTTGAAATTTTATCAAAAACAAAAAGGTTGTTTTAGAAATTATCTGTTATAAATTTTTAAAGTGTTAATGAAAAATACAGAAATGTAAATATGAACATAGAAATTGACAATCAACCTAAAATAAATAAAAAGCCCAGTTTTAAATTATGGATACCTTAAAATTATACTGTTGTAAAAGTTTACCATGAAGGAATATTTCACGAAAAGAATTATCTTGTTCTTATTTAAAGTTAGTTTACATGTACTATAAAAGGCAGAAGATGACGACACGTAATTTTGCAATTGCATTATTTAGGTTTTCTTTTTATCTGTGCACAATTAACTATTTTGAAATCATTAATAGTAAAAGCATTCAAAAAGAAAACTAACACAGAATAAGAAGCAATGTATCAGTAGTCTGGGCTCTGCATAATGAGATATTTCATTAAAATGGTAACAGGAAGCATTACCATAACATCTCATTAATAAGGAGGAGAAATCTGACTGTGTGACCAATAAGTTACTAGTCACATTGAGCTTTATCTTATAGTGTGTGTATTATATATATATATATATATATATATATATATATATTTGTGGGATTTGCACAAAAAGTCAACTTTATACAGATTTGTTTGCACTTGATCTGGATTTTTTGTTTTGTTTTTAAATTGTCAAAATGTTTAGTTTAAATCTAAATTAAGCTTAATTTTTTTTTTCACAGTCCTACAGAAGTAAAACCAATCAAGAAAATCTAGTCACATTTAAATGATTTTGTTTTGCAAACTCAACTGGAATCATTAAAATTAATTATGAAAATATTTTATGACAGAATTTTTTAAAACACTATAAAGGATTTATTCCATCATTCAACAATAAAACTGAACTTAATCTTAAAAATTAAAGAACAGTTGCAGGAGTTTGTTTCAGGTAACTGTTTTCTTCACCTTGGAATTAAATAACTGTATCACTGACAAAGAATTTATTTATTTGTTCAAATACAATAAACTTTTAAAATATTTGTTTAAAGAAATGCTCAGTTCTATTAAAAGTTAACTCGCATTTGACTGGGCAAGATATGTACGAGGAGATGCTGAAAAGTTCTGTTTGACTAAGAAGATGCTAAAAATATGTAGTGTTTTCTCAGATTTTGGGAAGTAGGTAGGCAGAATATTTTCAGCACCCCTCATAAATATAGCCAATTATATTTTAATAAGACAGCACAAATAATCTCTTATTACAATAATCCTCTACAAATTTCTTTGGTTTTAAAATGGACCCAAAATCTTCGTGTTTGCCAAAAAACTTAATTATATCCATAACCAACGTTTTTAAAAAAATAAAAAATACTGGAGTGAATTCATTTTCCACTAGGCGTCTTATATAATTGGCCTGGTACCAACTAAATTTGAGTTTGTAAATATTTGAGCAATATTTCTCAAAATCAAGAAAGATTATGTCCCTTCTATCTCATCACTTTATCAACATTTCAAAACAAAATGGAAAATTTGTAAAATTGATGAAAACCATCTCTTAAAAAATTTGTATTGATACATTTTTCATTTTGTTAAAAACTAAACAAAATAAATTGATTGTGAGTAATTTAAAATTTGCAAAAGTTCTTAGTATAACTAATGTAGTTGTTTTAATTTTCTAATAACTTCAGTCTCTTTAAAAAAAAACAAAAAAAAAAAAAACACCTTTGAGTGCACCAGTTTCTAACATTGGGATGAGTTATGGAAATGGAAATCAGCCAAATATAGAGAAATGGCAAAAAGAAAAAACATTGGTGGGGAAAGAGTTAGAAGTGAGTTTGAGAATTTTTTTGATACCCAATTTTGTGTATAGTTTTTGTCACTTTTTTTCTTAAATGTCTCTCGTATGACGAGAGAAACAATAGACAATTAAAAAATTTTTATAGAAAAAAATCAAGTAAAAATGCTTAAATTAAAAAAAATTAAACCCTCATAAAAATCTGATTATCAAACAGTTTTCCCGTGATTCATTCTATCATCCTCCATGTTCATATTGTGTTGCATTTTGTCAATGCTGTCTTCATCCTGAACAATACCACCCTGCCTGGACTGACCAATTTCACCCTAAAAAGAGGAACAAAGAAAAAGATTATTTTTTGTTTTTTTTTTTATTATGAAATAAATAAACAAACATAAACATTATATTTTGTTAGTTAAATCTTCAATATTCATCTGAATTCCTGAGACTTAATTTCATACTTTCATCTTTTATCAGTGTCACTCAAATCTTGTTTGTAAGAGCAGCATTCAAGAAATCAAAAGAAAGTTCTCAAGGCCAGCATACAAATAACCCTGACATGTACTGTTATGAGACAATAGTTGTCATTCTTGCCACATGTTGCTGATCATAAGGTTTTTTTCTCAGCAGTTTATGTTTGTGATTGACACATTGTGTGTATATTACAGATATGCATGCAAATGTATACAAGTATACAAAAATATACAAAAGGAATATACGCAAAAAAGAAATACATATACACACACATCACATTTTTAATACAGACCTTAGTCTTTGAGACAAATGCAAAACTTAACTAAATCTTAAAAAGTACACAAATGCAATAATTGTGACTAAAATGTGAATGTAAATAATGACTATCTGTAGCTGTCAAGTCAGAGTGATTGGTCTTGAAACAAAAAGAACACACTGCAAATTTTTAATGATCAATCAAACAGAATCATTAAAAAAATAATGGTTTCAAATTGTCAGCATTTTTATTTTATTATATGATATTTTTGGCAAACATGGATAAACATGCTCACATTAAGATGGAGCATCAAAAAGACTATTTCCCATGACACTTTTTTTTTTTTTTTTAACTACCTTCATTCTTTGGCAATTTTTGTTTTAAAAAGCAATTGTTAGAATTGTAAAAACTAAGCATATGGAAGTGAATTTATGCATTTTCTTTGTTCTTGAGAGTTGACAACAAAAATAATAAACACTCTTAGATTGTTTATTTACACTATTATTTATTTGACTGGTTGGCAAAATATTAGCTAATTGCCAACTAATTCAAACTTTATAAAATGGTAAATAAGGATTTCTTCATAATTGGTTCACATCTTTTAATAATTTAATGTTAATAAATATGAATAAAAATTGTTTTCAGATTTATTTCTTTATAAACTAGCAAATGATAAAATTGCATTAGTTATTAATTGTATAAGTTTTTAGAATGTAAATATAAAATTATTCTTGTAAATAAACAAGCTAATAAATAGCATTTAATATTTTTGTTGTAAATTCTCAAGAACCAAAAAATGTATAAATTCACTTTCAGGTTTAGGTATTATTCCAATTCTAATAATCACTTTTTAAAACAAACATTGCCAGAGTGACAGTAGTTAAAGTGTGTCATGGGAAAAAAAAACGTCCTTTTCACACTGTATCTTATTGTGAGCATGTATATCCATGTTTGCCATATTTTCAGTGTCCACATTTATATCATTGTTTTCAGATTACATTTTTACTTTGTTTTTAAAGTAGAAGTAAATCCAAAATATATTTAATATAAAAGTAAAGTTACTTTTTACAAGATTCAAACTGACATTACACAGTTTATAGACATAACCTTTACCAATTTAGACAGAGACCAACATGTTAAGTTTAGTCTAATTGTATAGAAACATTGTCTTCATTTATAGATTTGACTGCTTATTTCAGAGAAACATTTTGCACAACAGGCTATACTTTTTGTATAAATTTTTATTCTCATGAAATTATAAGAAAAAAGTGACATTTCCTTACATAATCTTTTGCAAGTAAAAAATGCATAAAAAGTTGTTGAAGTATAACATGCAAGATACAAGTCTCATGCAATGAAAATTAGAAAAGGTAGATTTGTTAAGAATTACTGAAAAAGTTAGGCAAGTGCAATTATTATAAATCCAAGAAAATTTTTTAAAGAAAGATAAAATGTCTTTAAAAGAAAAGAAAAAACTTACATTCTATTAAATGTATTAGCAAATTTATTAAAATTGTCTCTTAAACCAAGATTTCTTTAAAAAACGATTTTAAAATTCATTAAAAATTCAAGGTATCAAGTTTTAAAATCAGTATAATGCCATTTAATATTATTTTAAATTTAAATTATTTTTAGCAAAAAGTGTTTAAAATGACTTTTTACAAATATTTAATCAAATTTTTTTTCAAATTTACAAAACATTAAAAATATAAGAGCAAAAGTTAGATTGCAAATAGAATGGTTAAAGCAAACTTGTTGAAAGTCCAAAGAAAAATATTTCAATTAGTTATAGATCAATGGTCAGGGATGGATAAGAGAGAAAAGTCCTTAGTGCATTATCCACTTCATGCAGAAGCATTTATCAATAGCTTCATTCCTCTGTGTGTGTATTGTATACACAAAAATATTCAGTATTTGTAAGTAGATTCTTAAATTCAATATGAATCTTGTTCTTTTCAGACTTACTGGTTTTTTCATTGGCCTATGTTGAGTAAAACAATTTCTCTTAGTGTAACTTATTTAAATACTTTATATACAATGGGGAAAAAATTGACAAAAAGCTTCATTAAGTTAACTTAAAAATAATGAAATTAGAGTTTATATCCTTGCTATGGTGTAATGGCTAACAAGCTAGCTTCAGACAATCACTACTGAAGCAAGTTTAATCTATTACAAGGTGGCTCATACACACATAGCTTTTTGTACTTTGCTAAGCTTTAGTAAATCACCAAAATAAGAAAATCTTATCTGCAAATATTAATGCATTTTTATTTGATGCAAAAGGATTAATAGACACTTGTTTGACAAAGTAATAAAATTAACTTTTTTTTGATTAGAGTTGTAGTCACATTAAACCTAAAGAGTATTTTCATATTCTGAGAGCAATGAAAGAATTGAATTCTGCTTCTGGCTTAATGCCACAAAATGCTAAAAATACTTTGTGACCAAATAATAAACATTAAATTTATAGAAAACAAGTGTGAAAGAAACAAATACAAAGCAAAGCCAGTGAAGATTCTCGTAGAGGATGAAAGAAAAAGGATTTATGGCACTTGCGGGATTGGACAGTCATGAATATGAATGGTGGTGGATGAAGGAATTTATTTTCTTTTAATTTGAAGAGCTAAACCACCAACTTATTGGCATGACACAAAGAAATTAAAAGAAAATGTATATGCAAGAGATACTCCAAAAATAATACTTAGTATTTATTTTTATGGAAAGTACAAGAAAATGTAAAGAGCACACTGTTGGATAGAGCAAATTTTCACCTACAAAACACTTTTACCACATTCACCCCAACTGGATGTGGACAGCTACCCAGGACATGGCTTATCATAATCACTGCCACTACTGCTGAAATGCATTACCCACTACCTGTGCTCATACCCATTATTTAGTCTCTGTAAGTGGTCAGCAAGTGCTGATGAGTGTCAATGGGTGCAATTTTATCCATAGAGAGGAATTCAATTTCACACCACTGTGTCATAAAATTTCATGTCAGACACCATTTTGCCAGACTGCAGTCTCTAATAATGGGCTATTGGCAGAAGAGTTCTACCTCTGCTATACTACCAACAGTCACCAGATGCTATGAGCCAACCAAAGGAAACAGGATTTATTGTGTATCATACACTTTCTAACGGAATAATCCCTTCATGCTTTCTTTAGTCATTCGGATAAAAAAGTAATTTCTGTCTTATAGAATGCTAAAAACAAAAAAAAAAAACAAAAAAATCTTCATCCTTTAATGGCTAAAGCAACTAACTCAATTACTAAAGTGCCTATACATTTTGCTGCAAGACAAAGCTACTTGAAATATATTAAACACACAGAAAATAAGTATAGATAAATGACATGTTACTTGTGTCATGCGCCTGTTTGCAGTGATGTCTGTCTGTGTCCATGTCAATAAGTGCACCCAAAGCATAGTTACCTGGGAGTCAGCAACCACACCAAGATGTGCTCGAAAGTCATTGTCATCATCAGAGGTTTTACTCTCAAGACTAGGAATGAACAGTTTGTGGCCATCTTGAATCCCAGGTACATGTTGGCCATCGTGTTCTCTCCTGAACCACGAAAATTGGCTGGCTTTGCCCTCTTCAGCATCAGTGTCACTGGCAGTATCAATATTGGGATCAGATGGGTGCAAAAGCTGTTCATGAAAGGTTTTCTGGGGAAGGTTGGGGTCGTGTAATGTGTCATCAGCCTGTGACAGTGCATTACCATCATTGAAATCACTACTGTAATTATCGAAGAGAGGAGGTCTCACCTTTGCTGCACTATCTTTTAAAGTTTCCCCAGCATGGTCATCAATCGGGACTGGTTCAGCTGTTTTGCATTGGGATGAATTTTTGTGAGGGATAAGACAAAAAAAACAAGATTAAAAAAAAAAAAAAAAAAAAAAAAATTAAATAAAAAGAATTGACATTAAATTCAATATACAGTTACATCTACAAAATATTTAAAAGTCTTCCATATTTACTCAGTTCATAAATCCTAAAAAGGAAAGTAGAAAAATTATTTTTAATTTTAATTTTAACAAATAAAAAATTCACACAGCAGGGTAGAGAACAGAGCTGCATTTGAAATCCAATTGCTGCTAAATTTGAAATAAGTACTCCAAGTTAACCCAGCTTATTCTAAGTCATTCTGTTAAAAAAAAAATTTCTAAAACTGTTGAATGGATACATTTACAGAATGGAAATGAATAAAAGAGAAAAGCAATGATTTTCTACCTTACATCAAGAGGCATTCATTACATTAGTTTTAATAAGATTAGTAAAATTTGGGCAATGTAGGGCACTTCACAACTAGCTGACAGATGCAATGTTGTGTGGAACTGTGTCAAACCAGATTCTAAGTAGCCCAAAATTTTCACGTCATCAAATTCAAAATTTGGTCATGTAGAGCTTTCAAATGTAGCCTAATCTGACAACCCCAGATTACAGTGCCACTCCCCAAATAAAAATTTTAAAAAATAAAATACATAAATCAAAAAATAAAAATAAATAAATAAATAAATAAAAGGAAAAAAATAAATTTCATAAACAAGACAGAGACAATAAACAAAAGTATATGGAGCCAATTTTACCTTCAAACCCATCTTAGGTAACCTGTAATTCAATGACAATTTTTATGTACAATTTCAGTACATGGCAGAAAATCAGTTTTAGTTAATGCTTGAAAATAATTCAGGAATTTAAATTCCTTTACTCAGTTTTAAAGAACAGGAGATAAAAGATAGCATTCCTACTTAAAACCTGCTGTTCAATAATATTCATAGGAATTAAGAGCTGTTGTGTAGAGATCTGCTAAGCTTAGTTTTATCCGACACAAGGTTACAGTATTGAAGCACTGGTGAATCCAACTTACCCCACTTGCCTGTGAAGACAGGTTCAAATTCAAATGCTTTAATTTACAGTACTATGCAAAACTCATAGGCCATTTTAAGGTATTGTAAATTTTTAATAATTGCCATCCAAGTATAGATTTTTATTATGCTGTCTACAGATGAAACTGACTATATTCTAACCATTTCCACACCCAATTATCATGTTTTGTTTTGTTTTTAGCAAAAGTTCCAAAAATAGCCATGAAAAATATTTCAGCCACCAAGTCAGAAGATATGTTTTAAAATGGAAAAATGTAATGAAAATTTATTATATAATGTTGATTTTAAGAAGTTAATGCATATTGTTAAATGTTTTGGGTGGCTTCACACAGCTTGAATAACTGCTTCAATGCACATGGGATGGGATTCACACAAATCGATCTTCACATGTACCAGATACCATTCCCTGTAATTGGGCTCCCACAATTAAAGATCACATGGATTTTTCTGATAAATTCTATTCATTAGTTCTGTCAATCCATGATTTAAGTCAAGTCTGGCCAATCTTTCAAAATACTGACAGTCATCAGTTTGTTGTATTACATGCCATCTGTCATAGGAAGCTCTGTAATGCTAAAAAATATCTTCATCCAAGTTTGGTATCAATGTTCCTTCAGTGACAGGATGAATTTGGCAATATTCAAGCTATCCTTAATTTTAACCACTTGAACCATTCCTTTTTATGCAATCATAAAGCACTGATTCTGAATTGGGACTCAAAATTTTCCTAATAGATCAGGTTTATGCTCGAGGTAATATCTCCTTGAGCTGGTGGTATGTGATTTGTTAAATAGAATTGTATAGATCTTTCTTGGGTTTTAGACTTTAACAACATGCTCAGTGTTAGAATGATTGGGCTGCAGCTGGTCACTTCAAATGTACATTTTGCATCCTCATCTTGATCAACTGATCTGGGTGCTATACATGAAGAGTGATTCAACCAGGATATATCTGAGATGGGATCAAATCAAGACTGGTTCAAACTAAACTGTTTGCAATATTAGGAGTGTAACGAGCATGCGCGGAAGTGTCCTCGAACTGTGTGTGTGCGTTTGTTTTCACTGGGCACGTCTTGGAGTACCATAATGGACTCGACCAAGGACTACAAGAAGATGTGCAAGTTGTTTGGTGTCTTTTTTGGGTGACAAAAGCCATTGCAGTCGGTCGTCCGTTCACTGGCAGCAGTCGTGGGTGCCATTTGCTCGTTTGTTGTCATAAAGTGTTCGTTCGGAAGAGGTGTTCGTTTCAGGTCCGCAAAAAGGCATTCGTTTTTTGTTTTGCAAGAAGGAGTTTTTTTTTCCCCCCCATTTTTTCACACAAGCTATTTCGGCATTATGGCCTTCAACCCGAAGCTGATACCACTGTTCAACAGAAACGATTATGGACAGTAATGTAACTGTGTGGGTAGATGCAAGCTCCTTAGCCACCGGTGTGGTTGTGGAGAGCAATGGCGGCATGGCAGAAGACGCAAGCTGGCTCCGACTGGTGCACGAAGACAAGCACATCAACTTGGCTGAGCTCGATGCTGTGTTGCGAGGTGTCAACCTTGCATTACAATGGAAGGCTAAAACCATTCATTTACGAACAGACTCAGCTTGTGTGCATCGCTGGGTAGCTGACACGCTGTCGGGATGGACGAGAATGCGCACCAAGGCAGCCTCTGAGATGCTAATCAGACGTCAGCTAGTCACACTCCAAGAGTTGGCCTTAGAATACGAGCTGGACATTGATGTAGAGCTTGTCAAGTCATACAACAATTGAGCCGACCAACTTACTAGAGTACCGCAGCGATGATTAAATGAAATGCACAAAATAATGGAACCCAGAGAACTGTGCGCTGTGGCTGAAGAGTGAGATGTTGCTCAAGTACGAGCCATTTATCAATCCCTGGTGTGAAGAGAACACTATTTTATGAAGTTGATCGACCCAAGAGTAACAAAAGCTGAGGTGCGAGCGGTGGTTAGGGCATGCAAGGTATGCCAGTTAATCAACCCGGCCCCAGTGCATTGGAAACCGGGCAGGCTTGATGTCGTGGAAAATTGGCACAGGGTTGCGATGGATGTAACCCATTTCGGACATCAACTATATCCGACGCTGATAGACTGCGGCCCCAGTCATTTTGTCATTTGGAAGCCCTCACACCGCCAAGACTCTGCTAGCATCATCAAGCAGTTGGAAGTAGTGTTTTGTGAAAGAGGGCCGCCGATTGAGCTGCATACGGATAATGAAAAAAGCGTTTTGTGGAGAGAGGTTTGCTGCTTTTGCAAAGATGTGATTTCACCGTGCCCACGTACCATCGAGATCCCATCGTACAATAAAGCGCATTGCGACGAGAACACAGTGTTCAGTTTTGGAAGCTGTATATTGGCACAACGTTACCCCAAAGGACAATAAAACAGCTTCAACTGCACCGGCGAATGCAACCTACATTTACAGGGTCCGCATTAAGGGTATCAACGCAGCTTTGGTGCTTGACGACACAGTTGCCAATCCTTATACGGTAGGAGAGACTGTCTGGGTGAAAAATCCACACGGAAGGTGTATGACAGTTCAACAAGGGTACGGTGACACAAATTAATAGTCTACACTCCTTCTCTGTTGATAGAATACCACGCCACATAAAAGATGTGCGCCCAGTGTGCGGGAAGGATTATTCCGTCAGCGACCACATTAGTTCTTCAGATGATAATGAAGCCCCGATGGTATATATAAAAATCACAGGAAAAGCACATCTCAGAGAGTAGTGCGCCTTATGAACCTATGCAGGATGACCTCAGTGAGACATCTGAAGAGAGCACCACTGAGGAAGCACTTGAGACCATACCACTGAGATGGAGCACCAGGCAGAAATGGCCTGCCCCACATTGCTATTTGTGTGATCTCGAGATCAGGGAGGAGTGTAACGAGCATGCGCGGAAACATCCTTGAACTGTGTGTGTGTGTTCGCTGGGCACACCTTGGAGTACCATAATGGACTCGACCGAGGACTACAAGAAGAAGACGCGCGAGTCGTTTGGTGTCTTTTTTTGGCGACAAAAGCTGTTGCGGTCGGTCGTCCGTTTGTTGCCAGCAGTCGTGGGTGCCGTTTGCTCGTTTGTTGTCAAAGTGTTCGTTTGGAAGAGAAGGTGTTCGTTTCAGGTTTGCAAGAAGGTGTTCATTTTTTGTTTCGCAAGAAGGAGTTTTTTTTTCCCCCCTGAGAATATTTCAGCACCCTCATCAGCCTCAATTTGAATTGGGTAAAAGCATGTGTTTTAAGACTACATAGTAAAATCTTTGACTATTGTAAGCAGATCTTTATTTTTTCCTAAAATGGCTTTCAAAATTGTCACTAAAGAACCTGATGTAATGGTCAGATGTGTGTGTATGTCTTTTTGTTTAAGCGAAACTCTTGAGTGTGTATGTGTCTGTCTCAAGATTTTATTAAAGTTTGCAGAGAAATATTTATGCCTAAAAAATAAAATGTATCTGTTAGACAATTAAATTAAGCAAAATTAGAAAATAAAGAAAGAAAAATTTTCTAATTACAGAATTGGTTTAATAGTTTAATTATTGCATTATAATTATATTATCCAAGCTAATCTCCAATCATCAAAAACACCTGAAAACTGTTTATCATTACTTAATAAAATAATTACAGATGTAAAAAATTTTTTTTTAATTCCAGTATAAGTTAAGCATAACATCAGTGTTTGAGAACACAAACAAAAAATGATCTGTTTAAGTAAAAAAAAAAAAAAAAAAGCAAAAATAACTTTCCATTCAAGAAAATTGTGGATTTGTTGAAAATTATCATAAAAATAAGTGCTGAATTTGAAATAAATTTGCTTTGCATGATGTCTATCTTCTATAGAAGAGAGAGAAAAGAGTTTGGAGAGCTTATGACTATATATAGAGTCAGTAATGTGATCTGATAAGTGGAATTGTTGTAGATAGAGTG